ATTAATTAATTAATTAATTAAAAATAAATAAATAAATAAATAAAGTCGGTCTCCTCACCTCGCAGCCTCTTCCTCGTCTCTCCTCTTTTCTTTTTTCCTTTCTTCCTCTAGTTCTTGTAATTTTAGCCTTTCTTGATTTCTCCTCCTTATGGCTCCTTCGCTGAAATGTTTGGTCCTATCAAACATAACCTGCCCACAAACAATGCAGAGCTTCATTAGAAAAGTTTGCCAGCTGGCTGGGTATGTCCCAGGTCAGTGAGATGGAACGGGTATGTACATTACCATCCAAAACCCAAGGAGTTCAAAATGCCCTCTCTGCATCCCAGTGTCCAGATGGTTCCGCTGCTTCATGGTCACCTGCCAAACATCCCTGTAGAACTTCCTTTGGCAGAACCCTTGAGGAGCTCTAATATAGCTATAGATGACATCACGGTGTCATTTTGGGCACAGGGTCTGAGGGATGTGAGTATATTACCTCTGGTTTGTTATAGCAATCAACTGAGTTCATGTATTTTTTTTAATCATCAGAGACAAAAATAGTCAAAAAATGGGGGGGGGGGAGCAGAGGGGGCGGGGAGCGAAGAGGCAAGAAAACTGACCTAATGGGATACAGACGTCGGACTGTAGTGATTATTAAGCTACTTTGCAAATCTCAAAATAAAGTGAAAGTCAGATCGAGGCACTACAAACAAATTTGCTCGAAAAATAAAAGGAGACAGAAATAGCCCTTTTAAATATACACAAGAATGATAAACACCAAATTCACAATCATGGCTATCTTTGAGGGGAGGAAGGGGAATGGGGTCTCATCTCACTGGTGATGTTTTCTTTTGTAAGCCGGGCAATGGGTACATGGGTGGTCACCATGGTACGTGTTATATCTTTTGTCTGGCTGAATAGCTCCTAATTTAAAAAGATATATTTTAGGGGTGCCCGGGTGGCTCAGTTGGTTGAACGTCTGACTCTTGATTTTGGTCATGATCAAAGGGTTGTGGGATCAAGCCTCAGGTTGGACTCTGTGCTGAGTGTAGAGCCTGCTTAAGATATTCTCTCTCTCTCTCTCTCTCTCTCTCTCTCTCTCTCTCTCTCTCCCCCCTCCCTCCCTCCCCCCCCCGCCCCTCTCCCCCACTTGCACGCACTCTCTCTAAGAAGATGGCCAAGCATTCAGACATCGATGAGGTGGCATGACTGGACAGACAGGATGATCTTGAAAGGAAAGCATCCAAGCTTGTTGAGGTTACGTTCCAACAATTTACCTGACAGACATCCTGAAAATGTAAGCTGTTGCCCCAAGAGGACAGAGGGAGTAAACTGCTCTCCTGTGGTTTCAAACTGCATGTATCCCTCTCTCTCAGCAACTCGTCAAATAGAACAGGCATACGAGACAGTTCCATAAAGGCCAGAGGAATTCTTCAGTGCCCTGGAGAAGTTAGGGCAGAACCCCGGATAATAACAAAACCCCAGCCAGCAGCATGCCTGCTAGCAGAGAATGTTCAAATCCGGATTATTTTTATTCCTAAACATCCATTTATTAGTGACAACACAAATCTCCACATTAGCTGTCAATCAGAGCCTGGTGGGGTCTAAGGAAATTTATTCTAGATGCTTCCTTCCAGCTTTTGCTCAGGACCACCTGGACAGTGGGGAATGAAAGAAATTCTGGCTCCTTCTTACCTTGATGTTACAGGCCAGAGCTTTCCCATCATCTCCTTTGAGCATTAGCTTCATACCTCGAAGGGACTCCATGGCTTTTACAAAGTCCGTCGACTCCTGGTACTGTATAAAGGCCTCAAACGTCTGCAAGCCGAAGCCGAAGCCCCCGAAGTTCCCACCAGTCGTCACTTCTCGGTAGGGGTCTAGCATAGGGATGTCCACATTCTTGATCTTCCCAAAGCTTTCAAAGACCACCCGGAGGATCTCTTCACAGGGCTTCTCCCCGCTGGAGCCTTTAGGTGCAAACCACTTGCAGGGCAAGCCTTCAAAATATATAGAGTCGGGGCTCTTATCCTGGTCCTGCTCTTCAGCCCCATCACTCGATGAGGCCTCCTTCTCCCTGGGGAAGCGCTCCCACTCTCCCTGGGCGTCCGTAGCCACTACTTTTAAGTCTGTTTTCAAACCGTTTAGCTTGATGATCTTTCCATGTAACTTTGCCTTCAAGATCTGAACCAGACTTCGCGTTTCGGCCTCCCCCTCGAACCGGATGAAGTCCTTGGTACTCTTAGAGAGCCGGACTGTGGTGAACTGATCAGGGCAAATTAGGCTCTTAAGCTGGTCGAGAACTTCCCAGTTGGAGAAGGGTCTCATGGGTTCTGAGCTCTCTGGGAGCAATACATTGATCATCAGTTTTGCTATGGGCTTGAGGTAGAGGTGCTGAGCTGCACAGAGCTCTGTGGCCTCAGAGTTATCATACACCACGGTGACCGTCATGGTAGCCCCCGGAAACCTTAGAGGGTGAGAGAGAACATTTTCATACAGATGGAGCAAAACACGGATTTGGACTTCGAAGGCTGCTAGCATTCCTGGACTTCAGGTCAACTGATAGGGGAAAGCGCACTTTGGGGAGAATGAAGACAATAGCTCGCATTCGTTTAACGTGTTTTAGGGGTTTCAAAGTTTCCGTATACAGTTGGCCCTTGAACGGGACGGGGGTGAGGGGCACCAACCCCCCCTCACCCTCATGCGGTTGAAAATCCACGCATAATTTTGGCTGCCCCCAAACCCAACTACTAATCGCCTACTGTTAACCAGAGCCTTACCGACAACAGAAACAATCGAGGGACACATATTTTGCATGTTATATGGATGGTATACTGTATTCTTACAATGAAGTAAGCTAGAGGAAAGAAAATGTTCTTAAGAAAATCAGAAGGAAGGAAAAAAATGGGGGCGCCTGGCTGGCTCAGACAGTGGAGCATGCAACTCTCCATCTCGGGGTTCTGAGTTTGAGCACCGCATTGGGTGTAGAGGTTACTTTAAAAAAAAGAAGAAGAAGAAGGGGCACCTGGGTGGCTCGGTCGGTTAAGTGTCTGACTTCGGCTCGGGTCATGATCTCACGGTTCATGAGTTCGAGCCCCACGCTGGGCTTTGTGCTGACAGTGAGGAGCCTGCTTGGGATT